GATTTTTATGGGGTTAAGCTAGAAAAATTAATCTTCTGCACTGAAAGAGACATTCTCATATTTTTATTAAGAGTTATAAGCATCTATTTTTTTCTCCCTGTTCTCTAATAAAACTGTGTTTTTTAAATCTTTGTTGAATATCTTCTGAGTATTTATTCATGTTAATCCAAAAGGTGTGAATCATCCTATCTAATAAAGGGATTGATTTTAGGATCATAATTGATAACAAGGCAAAATCTAATTTGTTCCTCTCCTTATTAGTTTGCTTAGATTGTTACCATAGCCTAGAATATCTCTTTTTCTTTCACCCTTTATCCAAGGAGCTCTCTTTTTCAAGGTGTCATCCAAGTTTCTGCTTTTTCCATTCAGACAGAGACACTAAAACGTACAAATACCAGCATTCTCTATAAGCTAATTAACAATAGATTAGCGATCTCGTTCTGAAGATACCATCTTGTATGTCCTGTGACATCTATGATTTTTCAACCAGTGACCGTCTTGCCTCTGTGTTCCCCTAGAGATATTTGACATTGTATAGTGGCATTTTTGATTGACAGGACTGGAATAGGATGTGATGAGTGGGTAGAAGCCAGAGTTTCCACTAAACATTCTATAGTTCACAAAACAGTCCTCACACTCCCAATATAGAATCATCTAGAAAGAAATGTCAGTAGTGCCAAGGTTAAGAAAGATTGATTACTTACATTGATGCTGGACCATGAGTAGTCATAGTCTGCATGCAGATCCCTAACAGATTGCATGACCAATTTTTATTGTTACATCCAAAAGTTGGCAACTATGTCAAAGGACAATGTAAAATGCTTTGCTGAAGTCCTGTGAGATTGTTTCTTCTGTTTCTATGTTATCTATGGACTGCCACATTATGACTGCAGGAAATTAAATTGGGCTGTTACAATTTTCTCTTTAGCAGAGCTATGGTGCTTGCTGCCCAGTACACTGCATTGCAAGTCATCAACAGTGATTGCCCATTTAAATGTTGATGATTTGTCCTGGTAGTTAACATATTAGAGTTAATTTGACCAGTGTGTAGTAACCAGGGTTGACTTTTCCACCTGTAAGAAAAAAGGAAATGGATGAGTGGAGACTTTAATATAGGTAAATTTTCAAGGGTTTTATATATTATATATATACACACATATAAAATACATATATATAGCATTTATATTATGTATTACCTATGAATTATATTCTCTCTCATTATATATATATGTATACATGGGCTTCCCTGATGGCTCAGATGGTAAAGAATCTGCCTGTAATGCAGAAGACATGGGGTTGATCCCTGGGTTGGGAAGATCCCCTGGAGAAGGGAATGGCTAACCACTCCAGTATTCTGGCCTGGAGAATCCCATGGACAGTAGAGCCTGGCAGGCTACAGTCCACGGGGTCTCAAAGAGTCGGACACAGCTGAGTGACTCACTTTCATTTGTGTATATATATACATATATTACTTGCTTCTCCATTTTTCCTCTTTCTGTTTGCATTCAACCACTCTCTGTATGTATTTCCATCTCACAGAAACTAATGCATCACCAGGCTGAAGTGCATTTTGTCTATCATACAAGATGCATGGTATCAATGGACTCCTCCAAGAACTGTTGTTTAAAATACCTTCAGACAACAAAACTTATGCTGGAGTTTGTTTGCTTCCTATCACTATTGCGATTGAAATTAACTTTTCTTCAAGTCTTTTTCAACCTCCATTCTATTCTTAGGACTTCCTTTCCTTTCCCTTGGTCTATTATTTGCACAAGTATTTTTAAATATTTGTTTTTAGTACAATTATTTTTCAGATTAAAGGCACCAGATATGTTTGAAAACTTTGACCAGGCTAGTCATCAAGGAAAGAAAATCTTATTAAACACCAAGCTTTTTCTAGATTGTTATCATGTCTGTAATCATGACTTCCAACTGCATCATCATTAATCATGATAAACTTCTAAAATAACCAAAGACTGAACTTGACTAAGCTTACTCTGTCAAGTGAGAACTATAAACTGTTAAACATAAATTAAGATAAATTATATACATGTATGAGCAATCAACAGTAAGAACTAATATCAGTTTCTAGTTTAGTTCATTATAACCATTACTCTTAACATAGTTGTCTTTTTTTGCAATTACTCATACTTTTATCTTTCTGGTGATTTCATACACTCATCCCACACAGTGAATTCTGGGAAATTCATTTCTTGATTCAGAGTTTTAAAAGTAATTAAACAGGTTCTTGTTTTATCTTTTCATTTATTTATTCTTTCATTTAATGTTTGTGTGTGTGTATATATATGCACCCATTTAATGGGTGTCTTCAGAAGTTTTAAAAATTAATTTTCAAAGTGTGTATGTTCACCTCAGAAATTTCTTTCATTCTCTCTGTTTGTTCCATTGCATTGTTACCTTCTCTGTCTGTGTACTTTCTCTCTGCCAGGATCAGCTTTTCATGTTACATTAATTGGTGGATATTTTTAACCTCCTTTGGTGAAAAATCCTTACTTCGAAATGTCTTTATCTTTTGCTATGCTATTACAGTTTCAGAGTAACACAGTGAAACATTCTTTTTCAAACCATTTCACAACCATAATCATGTAGTACAGATGAACATTTTAAACTTGAAAATTCTTATCCATATACCAAATCTACTAAATGCAACTCAAGGAAAAGAAATGGTCATTAATTTCAGTCTCCTATTGAACTCCATGATATTCAAAGAACCAGAAAGGTTATTGTGAAAAAACCTTTTTTAAAAGATAGAAAGCATATATATGTTAGTATTTGGAAAATTATTAAATAATTATTTATTTATTTACTATTATGATCAGCACACTCATTTTTTTTGCAAAGAAACAGTTTTTTTAAATATTTAGAATGTGAATTTATTAAAAAATCCATAGTCTTCTGTAGAAACGAGAGGATTTTGCAAGGAAATGATATGAAATGGATGCCTATAGTATGTCCAGAATTGCACGTGGCTCAGTGGTAAGGAGTCTGCCTGCCAATGCATTTGATCCCTAGGTTGGGATGATCCCCTGGAGTAGGAAATGGCAATCCACTCCAGTTTTTTTGCAGGAAAAATTCCATGGACAGGGGAGCCTGGTGGGCTACAGTCCATGGGAGTCACAAAAGAGTTGGTCATGACTTGGCACTAAACAACAACTACAGTATGTAACAAACATTTTGCACAGAAGTCTCATTTACTGTTCATGACAGCTCTATGACTTGACTGTAATAAGTAAAATTAAAAGAAATAAGGATGAGAGAGACTGAATAACATACCAAACAGCTGCTTTTGAGGTTCCAGTGCCCCATATTCCTCAAGATCTCTGTGAGAAATAAGCTACAGTTTCAAAAACCATACTTAAAAGACTTATGATGTTTATTAATTGTGAATTTCATTCAAATATTTAAAATTTCAGAAATACATTTAAACCTTAATTGACCTTTATGGTATTGCTTCTGAATATTATTTCTGTTAAACAAAGAGGGTAGATAAGTGGAGAAGAAAAAAATGACAACAGAGAACAGATTTTAAAACACTTAAGGAAATAAATTTGGAAATAGTAAAAAGACAATGGAAGTACAGGTCTTAAATGAATATGTAATTTTTTGGTTTTTAATACTTGGTGATTGGGTGAAAGGGAAGAATTAATGTGTTTGGATTATTAGTAAGAAAAAGGAAAAAAAGAAGAATTTTGTAAAGAATATGCAACTAGAAGGCAGAAAACCTGAGATCTAGTTAGGGAATATGTTACTAAATGTTTGGGTAGCTTTGAGTGTATCAGTTTATTTTAATTATGGTCAAAATGGTCTCATGTCTTCCGATACTCTGAAATTAAATGATTCTCAAGACCAGTGATTCTTAGAATGCAAGTTATAACAAATTAACCAAATAAAATGGAATATATCTGACAGTTTACCTATAGGCTTTCTCTGATATTTTTTAAAGATTGCAGTGTTTTTTTAATAATTTTATTTATTTATTTATCGGCTATGCTGGATCCTTGTTGCTGCTCAGACTTTTCTCTAGTTGTCGTGTGCAATCTTCTCCTTTAGGCAGTTTCTCTTATTGTAGAGCACGAGCTCTAGGACACAAGGGCTCAGTAGTTGCCGTCCCGGGTTCAGAACACAGTCTCAGTAGTTGTAGCACATGGGCTTAGTTACTCTGTGGCATGTGGGGTCTTCCCAGACCAGGGATTGAACCCGTGTCTCCTGCATTGGCAGGCATATTCTTAACCATTGAGCCACCCAGAAAACCCTCAATGAATTTTTGAACTGTTTGTGGTCACTTCCTTTTGCTTCATGTGGTAGTTACTAAAGTGTATTAATAAGAAGCTAAAATCACCAAAGAATAGCAACGTTGCAAAAACAGGAGATTCACATTGTTACAAAAATATTGAAAGAATAAATAGGAAATTAGTTCAGGTAACTCTTTGGAGGGGGAAGATAGTAGCGAATGAGGGGATTTCATTTCAAAACATTTCATGATTGGTGATTGGTTTAGGACTGACAGACACTTCGGAGGGTGAAAGAGGAGTGGTGAGACAGAAGTAAACAATTCTCTTGACAATGAGTATCTTCAACTAATATAACTTAAATTTTAGATAGTTAACACAAATACTCTGGGCATACCTTCAGTAAGTAATAATATGTATATTAAATATGATGAAAAATTAGTTTTTAGAGTTCTTCCAAGAGTCTAACTAAAATATAAGCCTGCCTAGCAATGCACTTTATGCCGGATTTCAAGACTCATTTCTAAAGTTACATAAGTTGTAATAATATGTAACAGTGTACTAAAAAGGGGAAAATTATTTCTCAGTTAACTGTGACTGATACTTGAAATTATAGGCACAATTTTATTACATGCTCATAGCTAAAACATACATGAAATCATCTTTATTTAAATGTAAATTATGGGGTTTTTTACCTTTAACTTTTTTTCCTTGACAGTAAAGTATTGTATTTTATTCACTTAATTTTAGGCCAAAGGTTCTCAAACCGCAACAACCTCTGGCACTCAGAAAAAAGTGAAGAGAACTCTGCCAAACCCACCACCTGAGGAGACCTCCACAGGAACCCCGTCAGCCTACAGCGCAGTGGGCACAGTCTCCAGGAGAAGGATCTGCAGAACCAACACGATGGCCCGAGCCAAGATTCTCCAGGATATCGACAGAGAGCTTGATCTTGTGGAGAGGGAATCTGCCAAGCTCAGGAAGAAACAAGCAGAACTTGATGAGGAAGAAAAGGAGATTGATGCTAAGTTACGGTACCTAGAAATGGGGATTAACAGGAGGAAAGAGGCCTTGTTAAAGGAGCGAGAAAAGAGAGAGAGAGCCTATCTCCAGGGAGTAGCTGAGGATCGTGATTACATGTCCGACAGTGAGGTCAGCAGCACCAGACCAACCCGAATTGAAAGTCAGCATGGCATCGAGCGACCAAGAACTGCTCCCCAAACTGAATTCAATCAGTTTATTCCACCACAAACCCAAACAGAATCTCAGCTAGTCCCTCCTACGAGTCCTTATACCCAGTACCAATACTCTTCCCCTGCCCTTCCTACTCAAGCACCCACCCCATACACCCAACAGTCCCACTTTCAGCAACAGACTCTGTACCATCAGGAAGTTTCACCTTATCAGACTCAGCCAACCTTCCAAGCTGTGGCAACGATGTCCTTCACACCTCAGGCTCAACCTACACCAACCCCACAACCTTCTTACCAGTTGCCATCGCAGATGATGGTGATACAACAAAAGCCACGGCAAACTGCATTATATTTGGAGCCCAAGATAACGTCCAACTATGAGGTGATTCGCAACCAACCCCTGATGATAGCACCTGTTTCTACTGATAATACATATGCGGTTTCCCATCTTGGTAGTAAGTACAACAGCTTAGATTTGAGAATAGGATTGGAGGAAAGAAGTAGCATGGCAAGCAGTCCAATATCAAGCATATCTGCAGATTCTTTCTATGCAGATATTGACCATCATACTTCGCGAAATTATGTCTTAATTGATGACATTGGTGAGATTACCAAAGGAACAGCAGCTTTAAGCACTGCATTTAGCCTTCACGAAAAAGATCTGTCAAAAACAGATCGTCTCCTCCGAACCACTGAGACACGTAGGTCTCAAGAAGTGACAGATTTCCTAGCACCTCTGCAGACTTCGTCCAGATTGCATAGTTACGTGAAAGCAGAGGAGGACCCAATGGAGGATCCTTATGAGTTAAAGCTTCTGAAACAACAGATTAAACAAGAATTCCGTAGAGGAGCAGAGAGCTTAGACCACCTTGCTGGTCTTTCTCATTATTACCATGCTGATACTAGTTACAGACATTTTCCAAAATCTGAGAAGTACAGCATTAGTAGACTCACACTTGAAAAACAAGCAGCAAAACAACTACCAGCTGCCATACTTTATCAAAAGCAGTCAAAGCATAAGAAGTCACTAATTGACCCTAAAATGTCAAAATTCTCACCTATTCAAGAAAGTAGAGACCTTGAACCTGACTATTCAAGCTATATGACTTCAAGCGCTTCATCTATTGGTGGCATTTCTTCCAGGGCAAGGCTTCTTCAAGATGATATTACTTTTGGCCTCAGAAAAAATATTACAGACCAACAAAAATTTATGGGATCATCTCTTGGCACAGGACTGGGCACCTTAGGAAATACCATACGGTCAGCTCTGCAGGATGAAGCGGATAAGCCATATAGCAGTGGCAGCAGGTCCAGACCTTCTTCCAGACCTTCCTCTGTCTATGGGCTCGATTTATCAATTAAAAGAGATTCTTCCAGTTCTTCTCTAAGACTGAAAGCTCAAGAGGCTGAAGCTCTAGATGTTTCCTTTAGTCATGCATCACCTTCTGGGAGAACTAAGCCTACCAGTTTGCCTATTAGCCAGAGTAGAGGAAGGATACCAATTGTGGCCCAGAATTCTGAAGAGGAAAGTCCACTCAGTCCTGTTGGACAGCCAATGGGAATGGCCAGGGCTGCTGCTGGACCCCTTCCACCAATATCTGCAGACACCAGGGACCAGTTTGGATCCAGTCACTCTTTGCCTGAAGTTCAGCAACACATGAGAGAAGAATCACGGACCCGAGGCTACGATCGTGACATAGCATTCATCATGGATGACTTCCAACATGCCATGTCAGACAGTGAAGGTAAATTGGGCCTCAAACTACCTTGCTACTCTCAAAACTCAAACTCTTATTTTTCTGCATGTTTAATTTTCCTTCTCCAAGGATGTGTGCTATTTTTCTTGGTGTGTCTTTTGCATGTTTACTTCAGTTTTATTTCTTGTAAATGGAAATTCTATCTTGTGTATAGACTTCATAGCATGCTCTTTATTTCTTTTTAGTTTATCCTTTTATTGTTGTTTCTTGATTGTTTGATTTGTGTGGTGTCTACTTTTCCAAAACCATTATCAAATAATTGTGTCAATAAAATATGGTCATCCTTTAAATCTATAGTTGGAAAGTTTTTTCTTGTATGTTTCTTTTGTTTTCAAAAGCCATTTTTAAAGTTATTAGTTTCTTTCAGTTTGTTAAATGATTAAGGTTTTGAGCCATTGACTATTCTGCTAGACTTTGTAGTAGAAAATTATTTGTCATTTGTGAGATCAGTGTTTGTTAATTCAGAGAATGTTCTTGAGAACGTTCAGGTGAGTCCCTAATGTTAGCATAATGTACAGTTTTATAATTCTACTTATTTAAAAGGCTTGTATTTTAATTTCTCTCTCATTGTGAACACCATAGTTGACAAGCATTGTACATTGTATATTTTGTATTACATACTAAAAACTTAGTACTTAATATGATATTGACAGTAAACAACAGTATTATACATATGCTGGTCAATATGTATGAAGCACTGTTTAGATCTTAAAACTCGAAATTTTTACATTGCTTTTGTGAATTTAGGTATTTGAGCTGAAGCTTTCTTTGTGTGTTCAGTTAGCCTTTTCCATGGGTTTCCTTTTTGCGTTGTTTCTTTTTTTTTTTTTTTTTTGCACTAAATTGTTTTACTAGTTTTTCATATAGAACAAGTGATTTATGGCAAGTACATACTTAACTAAAAACTTTATGGTGATTTTTTATTAAATCATATAGAACCATAAGGATTTCAGAAAATGACCTGACCAAGTCTTACTTAGAGGACAAGGTTGAAGAGGTACAGAAATGTGACATTTTGCCCATGCCCAGAGGACTTATTACTCTTGGTTCTTTTTTTTGTTTCTTCTCCGTCTGTGGTTTACATTTGAATATAAGGGTAGCTTGAGTCCTAAAAATAAAATATTTCTCATCCAATAAAAGTGTATTAATTCATAACTTTGGAGATGGAAAAGCTCTAAGCTAACATGAACATCTCCTCTTTTAAATCTAACATTTTCCCTGGGGGCTTGCAGGAAAGTGTATTTTCACAAGAAGGATTTTCTTTCTTCTGTATCTCGACACCAAGATGATATTAGAAGTTTAAGTGTAGGTTAGATCAGGACAAAAGTAATCACTGAATCTGAAGGAGAAGAGACTGCTTTTCCTAGTGAAATTCCAATAGATCAGTTACTTTCTGATTTATTTTTTTCCCTATAAGCTGTTGGATTGACCATTTTTTATTGATAATTAGCCAGTTAAATAAAACAGTATTTTTTTTACTTTAGCCAGTTGTTTGAATCAACCATCATAGTTAAGTAAGAGTTACATGGAAATTCTTCTTTTTTTCTTTTTTTCACAGTCCACATTTAACACACACTATATATGTATATGAATATATATATATATATGTAATGACTTCTACAGAATAGAAAGGCTCATCAATAGTAACATCTGTAAAATAGCAAAATAAAACAAAAATTAAAAGGTCAATCATATAACTCAACACCAAAGGCTTGTGTGCATGATATACATTTATCTGGAGATAATTTGACAAATTCATTTATTCATCATAGATTTTGCCACCATGGTGCCAAACATACATATGTTTCTAGATATTCTGAAATATGGCAGTTATTTACATACAACCATGTAAAAATAACCAAATTTTTCTCATTTATATGTTTCGATGATATGTACTCATAGTCACCAAAGACTATGAGAAAATTGTTTTGATAAAATATCAAAACACATGAAAAAATACTTATCAAAAACAATTTGTTAAGTATTTGGAAAGATCAGATTAAAAAATGCATGTTAATCTCCAGCAAATTATTTAAACTAATTTGGATGAGACATCATGCAGCACCCAAAATTAAGAAATGTGAAAGATGACCCCAGAGAAGGAAACAAAATGAAATTTACATGAAATTAAATTGAGTTAAAAATGTTATTTTTAAATTAAGCAGATAAGAAATGTAGTCATAAAAATCATGTTGGTATAAAATTATACAAAGAAAAACTATAACAAATTGAATTATATATGTAATATTATCTGAGTGAATTGTAGTGATGTGTTTTTAAATGTTCTGTATTTTCTTTGTGTTTGTATCTCATAAACGTATTACTTTTTCTTCTGGTGAACAGTGATCTGCTTTTATTTCTTAATGTTGGATTACGTGAGTAATTAAGAAGAAAAGTAAAAAATATTTTTCCCAGTCACATAACTTATGACATTATAAATTCATGAAGTATTAGAGACTTTTTAAATAAAAGTTTGCCACATATATACTATATCTATGTTTGAGTAATACTAAAATAACTTTGAAATATATAACATTCCAACAGGCTACTTAGTATCATGTAAACAAAGAAAATTTAACTGATTTCAGATTTATTCCAATTTATTGTGTGCTTTCTTTGAATTCAGTTAAACTCTGGGTTATAGACAACCAGATGTATTTCAGATGTATTCTATATGACTCCAGGTAATTTTGAAATACCTCATTTGAGGTAAAATCTAGGTAGATATAATTTTTTTTCTTCTTAATTCATCTGTACTTATTATAGCTTTTAAAGCAGAATGATTTGAGGTAGGCACAATTTATGTTGCTTAATAGTTATGACCATCAGCCTAAACTCTACAACTTAATATTCATTCCTGGTTAAGAACAGAACAGGAAAACTAGATTGGAGAAAAACTAAACTTGAAACAATCAAGTTGTATTTCTGCAACCACAAATAATTTGTTGAAAACATTCTTTTAAAATATACTCATGTTAAAAAAAATGCATCAGTACATACAGTCTTAAAAAAATTCCAATGAATATTTTATACAGAATAGAATTGGACCCCAAAACAGCTTCCTTGCATTTTATATTTAAGAGAAGAAAATATAAATAGCCTAAAACAAGGGGATGCTAATCTTCAGTGAATGATTTAATTTGGAAATTGTTATTATTGTAAAATTTCGTTTTTAAGGTTGGGATCTCCCGTGGCAGATCAAACAATTGCAATTACAAACATTTAGCATTTATGTCCAACTTGCTGTTGGGCTTCCCAGGTGACCCTAGTGGTTAAGAACTCATCTGTCAGTTCAGGAGATGGAAGAGACTTGGGTTCAATCCCTGGGATGGGAAAGTCCCCTGGAGAGGGACATGGAACCCCACTCCAGTATTCGTGCCTGGATAGTCCCGTGGACAGAGGAGCCTGGCAGGCTGCTATCCACAGGGTTGCAAAGAGTCAGACACGACTGAAGCAACCTAGCATACACCAACTTGCTGTAAACAGTGAATATAGAATTCGATTTAAGAGAAGACTTATTTAACCTTGTTTTTCTTGATTGATAAATTCCTATACAAAGCATGATAGCTATCCTAACTTACTTACATGCAGAGTTATTATAAACATAACAAAGTATGTCATCAAAATTGGAAATAAATTGACAAAATGTATATCCAGTTGAAATTCTGCCTTGTTTGTATAGACACAGCCAAGGAAACATTTTAAAAGATTCTTATTTTAAGTGCAATTAGCAAAGTATATATTCAAGTGATATCAGGTACAGTTTCCAAGGTAGTCATTTATTAAAATCAGTATAGACTATTTTTATGAGAAATGTTATTAAAATTTATAAAAAGTAATATAAAATATTAGTGTGTTTGGTGATAATCTAATACATTTTAGAGACTAGTGATTAAATAATGGATTTGTTTTGTTTACTTATCAAATTTATATTAAATATTTCTTTCATAAATTTAGCCACTTGGTGTCAAGTGAAAACTACGAAAAACCATAGTAAATACTGAATAGATTGTGAGAAAAGACTGTGTAACTGTTAATGAGGTTCATTTGACAAGTATTTATTTTAAAATGTGCTTATCATAATTAGGATATTTAACTTTCTTTAGTTGATGACTAATTTTCCTATGTCTCATTCATTTCCCAAATACTTTATGAATATTTTGGCATTTGCAAGGCATTGTTTTTAGTATTGAGGGAGAACAAAAAAAACAGAAGACATGAGGCTTACCTTCAAGCAGCTTAGAGTCTTAATAGGGGCGATCAGACAAGTACATATACAACCACAAACCAGGTATGTACCATTGTATTGCCTCAAATCTAAGACTGTCTAAATTATGACACATTGTCTGTCATTCTGTGTTTATTGAGAGGAAATTCTGTGGTTAATCAGTGGCATTGACCAAGATCACAGGAGGTGTAGAGGTGAGTAATGCTGTATATGCTGTGGTTTTGCCAGCCCTGCCAGTAAACAGCTAATGGAAATTGCTTGGGAAAAAGTCTTCAGAGAAAGTAGTGGAAGAGAAGTCAGTGATGCAGACAGAAAGAGAACTGTAATGAGATAGAGAGGAATACTCAGGAGCATGGCATTGTTGAAACCGGAGTTTCGAAAAGGCGTAGACTAATAGCATCATCTACAGATCTTTCAGGATAATACTTGCGAAGAGGCGCTCCATCTGCCATTTAGGAAGTAACAGTGTACTTCCAGAGACTATTAATTAGGGATCCTTTTACAATGCATAAAACTTTCTATGAAGTCAAATTCTATGTAATAGGTAAATAATGATTTCGGATCACTAGATAAGAACTTTAAAATGTCTTCGAAAGTACTAAAAATTTAATGGGATGAAAAATTTTAAATAATAGTTATATACTCAAATATAGTTATATCTTCAAAAAAGTATTTTAAGATGTTAAGCTTTGACACATTGTAAGTACAGAAAGCAGCCTACCAACTCTTTAATTCCTAGATCTGTGATCCCATGGAAAATAACTTTAATTTTTAACAGATCACCAGCCCAGGCTGGATGCATGAGACAAGTGCTCGGGCCTAGTGCACTGGGAAGACCCAGAGGAATCGGGTGGAGAGGGAGGTGGGAGGGGGGATCGGGATGGGGAATACATGTAAATCCATGGCTGATTCATGTCAATGTATGACAAAAACCACTATAATATTGTAAATTAGCCTTCAACTAAAAAAATAAATGAAAAAAAAAAATGACAGGACTAAAATAAATAAATAAATAAATAAAACCATATTGTGAGGTCAGGAAAAAAAAAAAAAATTAGGCTACCAGATGATTATGGCACACATGTTCCTAGCACTGATACCTAGGATCCTCCTAAAAATAAATGTTTTCATTTAGTTATGAATGTCATAGATGTGTCATGTTTTCAAAAGATGCTCAATTGATGTCCAAATCTAGCAGCCACATATTGGTACTGGGTTGATATGATACTGGAAAAATAATTGAATCTTCTGTATTCAAGAAATGTGTTTTTCTTAGATTTTAGTGACATATAGTGGGGAGAAGTGAGGAGGTGGAACTGATGGACTGAGGTTGAATAGAATGACTTTTGAGAAATATTCATTTGTTCCTTAATTTATTCAATCACTATCTAAATTTATTTTTTCACCTGATTAAAATGTTAATTTTGTCTTACTTTGCTCTGAAAAGTTGACAGGTGGCACATGTTTTTTTCTTCCTACGTTATTCCCTCATACAGAATTTTTAACATAATGCAGGAAATAATATTTCTGATCCCACTGGGAATTGTGTTTGAAATGCATGATCGGTTAATAAGCCTAAAAGCATGTTGGTACTGCAGATCATCTACTGCCCTCTGTCATCTGTATTAGTTGGAGTTGCAATGTTTGATATTTGCTTGGTCTCCAAAGCCTATCACCTCCGTCGTGAAGAAACAGATTGGTTTGACAAACCCAGGGAGTCTCGTTTGGACAATGGACATGGTCTAGATCGAAAACTACCCGAAAGATTGGTCCACTCTAGACCACTAAGTCAACACCAAGAGCAAGTAAGTGCTATATTGAGCAATATCTTTTAGATTTCTCAAAAAAAAGACTCATTTCACCCTAGAATGGTCTCAGATATCCCAAAATGCACAGGACTTTGATCAATCAAGTTCACAAATGATTTTTTTTTCAGTATCTTAAGGTGGTAATTCCCTTACTTCATCAGCCATGACTGATTGACATTGAAGCATAGCTGTGATGCTTCTTACCAGGCAATTTAAGTGATTTTTTTGCTTCTAACCAACATTTAAGCCGTACAGCATACCCAACACTGCCATGCAAAGAAAATACATGAATCTCCTAAAGGGCTTACAGAATATAGGGTAAAATAGACTTGTGTAATTTCAGGGCCTTCCATTAGAATATGCCCAGTTGTCAAGAAATAGCAAATAAGAAGATGACCAAACCAAGCAGCTGGGAACAGAGAAAGCTTCACCTGGGAGTAAGGGAACTGATGTTATATGGAAGTCTTTTATGTTCATTATTGGATTTTATATTCAGAACAACTTTCATAAAGTAGATTATATTAGTCAATATCTATAGGTTAAAAAAAACTTAGGGATACTATGAACTATTACATAAATATAATACCATAACTCATGATCTTATTCACTTTAGAACAAAAGAAATGATGTTTAAATTGAACTTCGATAGATACTTGGGAGATTAACAGTTGGATAACCTAAGGGAGGTTCCTCTGGTAGGTCACATGGCCTTAAATCAGTTGCCTTAACGGATCAGGTATTTGATTCATTATGATCATTAAGATACTCACAAAAGAGATAGTTACTTATACCATGTACATTAACTCCTTTATCACCTGTCTGATTAATGATTCATTGATAAACTGACAACTATATTTCAAACAACAAAAAAGAACCATATGAATTTACTATAATTCAGTACTTGTCATGTTAAGGCATAAAAGAAAAAAAGACTTTTGCATGTAAAAATGCTGTCTAAAAGATAGGATCTATGGTCTTAGATTTGATTTTTTCCTAAGCAATTTCAGTTTTCATAGACAAGTTTCTAACTGATAAAATATTTTCTCAATTTTATTTTGCTCTTCTAGACATTCTCACACTTTATTGAAATCTATTATCCTCTGTTTATTGTAAATATTCTAGATCTAGAATAGATTGAGAGAAGAAATGAGGAAATTTAAAAATTAGAATCTTTCTGAATGTGTTTAAAAATATTAGTTTATCTCTTATTTGCAATTATAGTCAATTTATCAACTGAAAATAACTTCCTTGAATTATTTTTTTATTATAGAAATCTCTCTGTAATGACTTACTTGTTGTGCCTTACTCATCTTGTTTGTTTCTCTGAAGTTTAGTATTTTCCACAAACCAAGATCAAGATAATGAAAATACAGATCCTTTCAAGGAATCCTGATAAGATGAAATATAAAAACTGAATAGCTAAAAACATAATAACTTTCGTACAGTTATTTCCCAACACTTCTGAGTATCCAATCAGAGTAGTCTTGTCCACCTAATTAATCCAACTAATATTCTACAGGATATATTTTCAAATAATCAGTGTCCATCCCCCAAAATTATATTCTAGAATACTGTCTTACTGTATGTAAGTGAAACATAAATATTCCTAATGAGTTTTTTGTTCATAATTATCTGTTCCTAACATCTACAGAATTTATGATTTGATTCACTGAAAACATAACATATTATATTTGAATTTATAAGTATAGAGCAATATAATGCCAAAATTAAGCAGAGAGGCTATATTTGAGAATGATTTAATGAATTTCTCTTTGTTTAATAACATAGGAAATGTAAGACTCCTTGTAAATTTAATACTGTGTATCTCATTGCTGAAAATTATTTTCACATTTGTATTTTGTTATCTAAGCTGTGAAGTGAAAATTGTTCAGTCGTGTCCAACTCTGCAACCCAATGGACTATATATTCCATGGAATTCTCCAGGCCAGAATACTGGAGTGGGTAACCTTTCCCTTCTCCAGGAATCTTTCCAACCCAGCAATCAAACCCAGGTCTCCCACATTGCAGGCAGATTCTTTACTAGAAAGCCACAAGGGAAGCCCAGGAATACTGGAATGGATAGCCTATCCCTTCTACAGGGGATCTTCCAAACCCAGGAATTGAAACAGGGTCTCCTGCATTGCAGGAGCATTCTCTACCAACTGAGCTATCAGGGAAGCCCTTTTAACATATAAACAAAAAATTATGCAATACTCAAAACTTAAAAACATGTAGAATTATAAATTAGTTATAAGACAAACAGTCATATAATCACCACACAAAGAAAGGGAGTGTTTTCTTCCCCTTGAAATCCATAAGTGCTCTTTCCAAATTGTAATTTTCAACCTCTCTCAAACAAGTAGTGAGTATACTGACTTTTGTGTCAGTAATTTCTTTATTTTTCTTTATAAATTTCTCTGTGTGAAAGCTACATAGGAGATGATATGTTTTGATTACATTTAAATGAAGTTCATGCTTTTTTGTGTTAATATTTATCTTCAAATACTCTCTTCATATCAAAATTATATTTTGGTATAGAAACAATGCAAAGTATCGTTCTTGTTTTAGTCATTTATTTAGGATAAGTGTTGTTTCTGCCAGACAAAAATAGGGACAAGGCCAGAGGGTAGGACTGATGTCAATTAATCGCCCTGTTCCTCTCCCCAAGAGCAAGGTTTCTGACATCATAGTCTTTGGCTAATTCTCCATTGACAGAACTATCACTTGTATGCTGTCCAGAAAAAGGATTCTTCTCTGTTTACAAATATTTCACAAGAAATTATGAATGCTCCCTTTCTTTCTTTGTGTGGTGGTTATGTGGCTGTTTATTGGTTTATAATTCTGCATATTTTTAAGTTTTGAGTATTGCATAGTTTTTTTTTGCTTACATGTCAGATAAAACATATAAACACTAATGTATCTGCTGTAAAAATTATTTAATGTAAAACATACATTAGAGAGCAGAATATATCTGACTTTAGACTCAAAATCATATGAATTATAAAGCCAAATCTGCCAATGTCTATGTTTTTTCTTTTGTATGTTTAACCTTCACACTATTCAGTAGAAATTCAACTCTGCTTTATGAATTGAAGAGATCACCTGACCTCTTTCTTTTCTTTCCTCAATCACTTCATCAATAAATAGAACTAGTACCATTCACAGCATTGTTGCAAAGGTCAAAATTTCTCTACTAGTACAAAATGCATTCATTCTGCACTAATGCCCGAGCCTTGTGCACTGCCCATGTGACCGCTATACTGAGGTACATTGGGCACCTTTGAAAAAGTTGCTCTGTCTTTATTCTGGGCTTTGAATGTCTTGTTTCCTCTTCCTGAACATTCTTCCCCCTCTCTTCTCTTGACTTAGTGCCGTTCATCACTCAGGGCTCCATGTGCATACCTCATCTTGCAAAAAGCCTTCTCTGACATTACCACCACCATCTCCCCACGAATGTTCCTACTTTATGCTACAGCAGCACTCCATGCATTGTGTCTTGGGCTGTGAACTTTCAGAGAGCAAGCGCTCCCCATGCCATCCACCATGGTGTCTATTCTGTGCCTAACACAGGGCTTGATACTCTGTCTGCTACATCTAGCATACAAGGTATTTAGATAAGGGAAAGGATGAATGTCTGTATGAATAAAAGATATGTTAACACAAGAGTTACTGTTTCATAAATATAAAGGGCCAGTTCATGAACATAATTTTTTTTGAAATACTTGTAAGTTGGGTACATCTTTCCCTTTCTCCTTTGCCTTTCACTTCTCATTTCTCAGCTATAAGTCCTCTTCAGACAACCTCTTTGCCTTCTTGCATTTCTTTTTCTTGGGGATGGATTTGGTCACCACCTCCTGTACTGTGTTATGAACCTCCATCCATAATGCTTCAGGCACTCTGTCTACCAGATCTGATCCTTTCAATCTCTTTGTCACCTCTACTGTATGATCATAAGGGATTTGATTTAGGTCATATCTGAATGGTCTAGTGGCTTTCCCTAATTTCTTCAATTTCAGTCTGAATTTTTCAATAAGCAGCTCATGATCTGAGCTACAGTCAGCTCCAGGTCTTATTTTTGCTGACTGTATAGAACTTCTCCATCTTTGGCTGCAAAGAACATAATCATTCTGATTTCAGTATTGACCATCTGGTGATGTCCATGTGTAGAGTCGTCTCTTGTGTTGTTGGAAGAGGATGTTTGCTATGACCAGTGTGTTCTCTTAGCAAAACTCTGTTAGCCTTTGCCCTGCTTCATTTTTGTACTCCAAGGCCAAACTTGCCTGCTACTCCAGGTATCTCTCGACTTCCTGCTTTTGCATTCCAATCCCCTATGATGAAAAGGACATCTTTTTTGGGTGTTAGTTATAGAAATTCTTGTAGGTCTTCACAGAACCATTTGACTTCAGCTTCTTCAGCATTAGTGGTTGGGGCATAGACTTGGATTACTGAGATGCTGAATGGTTTGCCTTGGAAACGAACCAAGATCATTCTATTGATTTTGAGATTGCACCATAATATATGTAATGTAAATGTATTATCTATAGTAACAAAGCAAACTTGAGTTATATCTGATAGTTTTAAGATTTTCAGTTCACATAGTTTAAAATGAAATCTTTAATGCAGATAGAAGAGGAAGGAAGGAGAGGATGAGGGACAGCAGAAGAAGGAGAAAAGATGAAGGGAGGGAAAGTAAGGAGTCCAGGAGAGAAAGTAAAAGAGAATGAGAAAAGTAAAAGAGAGTGAGACAGAAGAGGGGAGAGTAAGGAAGAAAAAAGGAAAATGCACACTTTTTTGTCATGAACATATACAAGATTCACAATGGTTTACAAAGCTATTATTAATAGTATGAATTATCTAGATCGATTATATGGACCATGATATTTTTATAATCATGCAAATGATATTTCAGTTTTACTTTGCAGAATTCATATAAGATTTTTGGACTTGACAGGATTATGCTGTTGTCTGTGGAGAAAATTTTGTTCATCAGACGCCTGATTAAGCTTATTCTTCCCTAAAGAGAATAAAACCTAAAGGCTGGCATTGTTTGAATTTTTCAGTGCATTTTTCTTTTAAAATCCAGAATTCTAGCCATTTTAAAGATGAATTTTCAGAGGCATATTAAAATAACATGAATATTCCAGGGAATTTTTCTTCACAAAAGGAACACCCTTTTAATTATAAATTCTAGTTAATATTTTATCTTAGTAACCCCAAACACTACCTAAACACATTCTGAAGTGGGTAGTATTAAATGTCTCTTTACTAAACCTTGTTTTATCTAATTCCAGGCAAAAATTCTCCAGAAGTGATGGATACAAGATTTCATACTATTAAAATCCTATTAATATAGTTTTATAAAGATTTTAGTATTTCTGCCTTTCATTATTTCACAAATCTCTTTTGAAAACCAAATTCCATAAAATATACAGCAGAAGTTTGCATTTGCTAATTTCATTTCAGAAATCTCATTTTGTCAGATGGAAACACCGATAACACAGCCTATAGCATTCTCATGTTCAAGTCTCAGTAATGAGAATTGAAATCACGGACTTGTAACAAAGGCATTGAATGTTGTTTCTTCTGATTGAAGGAGTGTCAGAATTAAATGAGAAATAATGCCTTTGCACACAAAGAACGCTTCAGAAAATATTAAAATGAGCAAAGATTTTATTTATTTATGCAGAATTAGTCTCGGCATCAGGAGTATCCTAAAACTTCTGACAAATGTGCTCAGCAGAAGCAAAATTCCACAATGATACCAACATAACATAACATATGCATTCCTGGTAAAGTGATAGAGATGCAGAGTAGAAGGATCTTTGTCTTTTCTCCCTTTAAGCCTGATGGCTGAAAATTAAAAGTGCCTCTCTATTTCTAGGCTGTCCAAAACCAAAATCAGCAGAGGTCAATTTTCCATATACAGTCTCTGTGTATTACCATAGTAATAGATATCCTTATGTGTTAGCATATGCTTATTGATTTTCCAAACCCAACAAATCAGTTTGCAAGAGAAACTGATTGTAAATGTGAAGACTATAATAAACTCAGAAAACAATAGTATCATTATGTAGTATTAAATGCTTAAAAGTGTCATCATTTGAGAATCTTCTGTTTTCATTGGTTGAATCACTGTAGTTTGAAAAAAGATAATTATATATATTGCCCTTTAAATGTCTTTGACATTGATTTTTCACCGTATCTTATGTATGTCTTAGATTATACAGATGGATGGGAAAACTGTGCACTACATCTTTCCACATGCAAGGATAAAAATAACAAGAGACTCTAAGGATCACACGGTTTCAGGTAAAAGAAATCAAATATTCTAGTTCTTTTTACTTTAATGTCAGGTTGAGATATGTATTTGAATTTGTTTAGGTGACATCAAATTTAAGAAAATGCATTTTTCTGTCAAAAACTATTGGAAAATTTCAAAAAATAATCAGGCTATGTATTTAAATATAAAAAAATAATGCTGTAATTATTAATATGATACATTACTAAATGGTTTATATTTAGATCATTCTATATCTTCATTTTTGATGTGCATAATAGTAAATGCTACATAATTATTGCACTGTTGAGTAATATGGTCATAGGACCGTAAAACATTCTTACACAGAAACTAACAAATTTTACTAAGGAATAAATTCCCCTATACCTTATAAATTTGAACATTATCAGTTTTGATCAGTTTTGTTTATTTGTTTGTGTTCTTCTTTAAATTAACCATATGACAGAAAATTTAAACTTGTTATTTTGAGAAAACTTTGGATTCTCAGAAAATAGAATGATCAGTTCTTTTGCCCACTCTTTACCCAGTTTCACTAATGTTAGCATCTAACCACAAAAAGTGATTAAAACCAGAAATCAGCATTAATATGATGGTATTAAAATATCTACAAGCCTTATCCAAATTTTGAGTTTCCCCACTGACCCACTAATTTTTTTTCTGAGGATCTAATCCAAATCTCAGATTGCATTTAGATTATTAAAATTTCTCTTGTTTATATCTGTGAGGTAGAAGTATAAATTTTATCAAAGTTAATAAATTTTCAAAGTATGAATATTACCTGTATTCTCACTCAAGTACATTTTCTGTGTTAAGTAGATAATGTATATCAACAGAAGCTATTCATCAATACATATAAATATTTGTCAGTGGTATATCTAACATAGCATATATGTTAGGTGTTTATTTTTCTTTAAGGACTGATACAACAGAGGACAAAAAGTGGTATTTCTTCAGTGTACTTGCTCTTGTTCTTTGCAGATTTTAGACCCTATGGTTTTGGAACAGGTTTTGATTTGAGCAATTTTTTTCCTTTTATTTTCATAGAGAATGAATTGATTAGGAATGTAATGTTTTCCTTTTAAGATAGGATCATTTTTCTTCTGCCAGAGATAGATATTTCAAACTTTCATAGTTTTATTACATGCAAACTATATTTTAAGCACTGATGAACATTCCAGGGGTGAGTCTTAAAATCCAGGGACTCTTTGTAGAAATAATTACTTGCTGCAAACTATTTCAATTCCCTCCAGCTCATAAAGCAAAACAACATAATACTTTCTAGCAATGCCAAAATTATTTTTTTCAGCAAAAATCTTCAAACCATTTTTACTAAATCACCAGGACTCTATATCAATATGTTTTCTATTTGTATTAATATACTGTGTCAAAGTAATTATCCCTTCAACCTTATCATTTTTCTTTTGCAACTTATTTTAATGTTTTCTTTTGCTACAATTAGGGAAGAAGTTTGTTTTCTTTTACTGCAATTAGGAAAAAATTATAATTTTTATTTTAAAATATAAGAATATTAGAAATCAGAGCTATTGACTTGTTATAATTATTCTAGTCTGAAAATTTGTTTCCTCTATATATAGATTTTGCAAAATGAGAAAAGAGGATTATAGTTTTGAATTATATACTAGGAATATATTATATTATCTCTATGCATGATCCTTTTTATCTTAATATTTATCTAAAATAATAATAAAAATACTTGTTATGTTTATCCTGCATTACTATGGAATGTATTTTCTTTGTATACCATAGTAGCCTGATCTCATTCTAAACTAAATATTTTACAACAATTTGTATTGTCTTCAAATAAGTCTTAAGTACCTCAAAGGGATTTAAATACATGTATATTGGGCTGCCCTGGTAGCTCACATGGTAAAGAATCTGCCTAAAATGTAGGGGAACCAGGTTCAATCCCTAGGTCAGGAAGATTTCCTGAAGAAGGGAATTGTTACCCACTCCAGTATTCTTGCCTAGAGAATTCAATGGACAGAGGTTCCTGGTGGGCTATAGTCCTTGGGGTCGCAGAGTCTGACATGACTGAGCCACTAGCAGTTTCACACACAAAAAAATTTATATGAAAGACTAGAGTAAGAAATGGCAATTTTTGCCAAACAGTATCTAGCAGTTTGAAGTTAGTGGCAGACAAACCCTGGCATAGAGCATTTACATTCCTGGCTAATCTCTGTTATTTCCTGGTCTACCAAAAGCTTAGTTTGAGTGACTAAATATTTGATGATCCTAAGATTTTACTGGTTTTCTAGCTATCATGTCATTTTTATGTTAATATTTTCATGAAAAAATTGAGTATATCTTTTAGAGATGCATACTCAAATATTTACAGATGAATCAATGTCTGGTGTAGAGTTTGCTTCACAATTAGCTGTGCAGAAAGTGGTGAAGAAATAGATGGAACAGAATTGACATAGTTTGATTAATTTGGAGCTGCAAGATTAACTACACTGGGTTTTATTACAACCTTGTTACTACTTTTTTATATGTATGAAACTTTGGGTAATAGAAAATAGTTATGTTAAGTAGTTAGAACAGGAAAAAGGAGTCCAGAATGGTGGTGGCTAAAAGACAAGGAAAGGAAAAGCTCGTGAAAATAGAGCAAAGGAAGATTCAAGGGCCAGAGTGAGGACCTCAGGTAAAACAAACTGCACTCCTGACTAGCCCAGTTTACATAGGGCAGGCCCAGGGCGAGGAGAGAAAAACATATTAAAAAGAGGAGCCAAAATTGGGCTGGAGGCCTCTCTTCTTTTCGTGTCTTTTGGGTCGGCATACCTTCATGCCTCAAGGATGTATTTCCTTTACTTTCTAAATAAAACTGAGCTGTAACATGGAGCTGTACACTGATCCTTCTGAGGGCTGTTGGGGGAGTTTGTAATTTCCTCTGTTCTGCCCTTTCACAACAAAAATTTGAAGTGACAGACGGACCAGTGTTATAGCCCTCAGATGGACCAGTGTTACAGCTCAGTTTTATTTAGAAAGCAAAGGAAAATACATACTCGAGGCGTGAGGGCGTGGCAACCCAGAAGACACGAAAAGAAGAGAGGCCTCTTCTTTAACAGGAGAGAGGCCTCATGCTTTAATAGGAGAGTCTGAAATGTGAATAATTACTATAGTAAAACTTAAGGAACAACTGAGACAAAGTCAGGGAATTTACAAAACTTTTTTGTTCATAGACATCTGTATATATGTATAGGTGTGTGCACACATACACATCTGTACCATTATTTATACTATTTTATGATGTATGTAGAGGGAAATACATGCATACTGTCTTTTGTTAAGTGGTCAATAACTTTAAGCAAATAGATCATTTAATTTTGACTATAAGCTTCAAAGATATACTTATAGGTGCTGATCAACAACTGTACAATGGTTTTGAAAACCTTTAGTCACCCAAGCACAAAGCAGTGAAATGGAGAAAATAGGACATGAGTTTTAGAATCAGAAAGTCCTGAACTGGAGTTCAGCTCCATCACTTCTTTAAATTTTGAGAATGAGTACACTCATCCTTAAAATAAGATCAGTTCTCTATATCTCACATAATGGCAAATGAACCTGACACAAAAGCTTATCCTTAGTGTAAATCAAAAGAATTATTTTCTCTTAGAAATTATCAGAAAAAAAGATAAAATGTAATACTCAAGAAGTGAGTCTCTTTCTTTTTTATTTAGAGCTCCATCTTAACATCTTCAGAAACACAGCTGTTCAAAACAAGTCAGAGAAATTTTTCTGAATTTAAAAAAGATATCTGCTTATGTTAAAGTTCCATACTGGACTGGCTCCATCTGCAAGGTTAGAAGGACAGATTAGAAAGTGTAATAATGAAGAACATTAAGAATGGTTAGTTTCAAAAGATAGCAGTGTCTTCGCTGGACATAATGGCTCATTTTCTGTACCTCTTTAGTCCACCATCTTTATGAACTTTTAGAAACAAGAGACAAATGTAACAGATCTCACTGGATCTGAATTGGTAGGAATACCAAAGGTGGATAGCCCCTTTAAAATTAATATTTTAACAACTTTATTGTGGTGTAACTTATATCATGAATGTGCATGTTATAAATGACTTTATAAATTTGTGGAGTTGTGTGACTATCATGACAATCTTGTTTTGGAACATTTCAAACACTACAAAAAGTTCCCTTGAGTCTGATAGCAATAGCCACTTCCAGCCTCTCCCAATCACAGGCAGGAAGTTTACTTTCTGTCTCTGATACTACCCTTTTTGGGTTCTTCATATAAATTAAATTGTACGGTCTCAGTTTTGATCTCTGACTCCTTTCAATTACCAGTACTTTTTAAGTTTATCTATGTTGTAGCATGTATCAGATGTTTGTTCTATTTATTGTTAAGAAGTACTTCATTGTTTGAATTCTCTATACTTATTTATCCATTGGATTTTTCGTGGTTTCTCTTAAAATTTGCACACAAATTTTACTTTGGACATATGATATTTTTGTATGATGCCCTAGAAATGGAGTTGCTCAGTTACATGGTGAGTTTCTTTTTCACTATTTAACAGTTGCCAGATAGGTTTTCCAAAGTGAAGTTACCATATTCCATTCTTACCAGCAATGTCTAAGGATTCTACTTGCTCCACGAGTTTGCCAGCACTTCATAATGTCTGTCTTTTGGGGAGAGTGTGGATGATAGTGTGTTGTTTTAACTTTAATTTTCCTAATGACCTGTGATGAGAGTGAAAGTGACAGTTGCTCAGTTGTGTCCAACTCTTTGTGACCCGGTGGACTATACAGTCCAGGGAATTCTCCAACCAGAATACTGGAGTGGGCAGCCTTTCGCTTCTCCAGGAGATCTTCCCAACCAGGAATCAAACCAGGCTCTCCTGCATTGCAAGTGGATTCTTTACCAACTGAACTATGAACATATTTTTAGGTGGTTAAAGTCAAAGCATACATATTCTTTGGTAAAATACTTATTAAGAATTTTTTTCCATTATTCAAGTTCTTTGTCTTCATACAGAGTT